CCGGCCGCGCCCCAGGAGTCGGGCGCGGGCGACGCTGGCGATGGCGCCCCCTCGAGCAGGGAAGGCGCGAGCGTCGCCCCATCTACCGCGTCGGCCGCATGGCCGATGTGGGCGGCGGCGAGGACGACCGCCGCAGCCGTGGTAGCGGCGGCAGCGGCAGCGACAGCGACAGCGACAGCGACAGCGACAGCGACATCGACATCGACAGCGACAGCGACATCGACATCGACAGCGACAGCGAGACGGATCTCCCGGCGCTCCGTGGGCCAGAGGCCCGACGGCTCGCCCGCTTCGACAAGCCGGCGGAACTCACCAGCCGCCGCACGAGGGAGAACCCTCGCCGAAATCCGAGGTACGAGTCGCCCCCGTCGCCGGCAAGTGCCGAAGCCCTGCTCGCCTCGGCGGTGAGCCTGCCCGTCAGCAGCACGGAGGAGTTTACCAGCTGGATGCTCTCGGCGGTACTTCACGTGGCGGATGGGCTAGAGGCAAGGGCGGTGCGAGAGTTGCTGTTCGAGCGCGCGGGGGAGGCCCACGCTGCGCGCCAAGAGGCGGAGGACTTCCTGCTGGGTGCGGTGGACCTCGTGCTCAATTCCCCAGACGCCTTCGAGACGGCTCTTGCGTCCCACGAGCTAAGTGAATCCCCCATTGGCAAGCGTCCGAGTGATGTAGAACCCCCCCCCCCCATGACCGTAGCCGGCGTTGTCAAGTCTGTTTACAGAGAGGGATGGGANGGAGGATTTCCTGCTGGGTACGGTGGACCTCATGCTCAACTCGCCAGACGCCTTCGAGTCGGCTCTGGCGTCCCACGAGCTAAGTCAATCCCCCATTGGCAAGCGTCCGCATGACGTAGAACCCCCCCCATGACCGTAGCCAGCGTTGCCAAGTCTGTACAGAGAGGGGTGGGAACAGGCCATGAGGGAAGAGTTTGAAGGGCACTTGGGCACGGAGACGTTTTCATTCGTAGACGGCGCGCCAGAGGGGCGCAGGCCTGTGAGCTCAAAGTGGTGTTTTAGTTGGAAGACCAACAAGGAAGGGAAGACAAAAAGTTCAAAGCGCGTCTGGTTGCTAGGGGGTTTTCGCAGATCCCGAACGTCGATTATTTCCATTCGTCTTCCCCTTGCTAATCATCCGCATCCATTAAACTGATGCTTGCGGTAGCAAACGAGAAGGGCATGAACCTCAATCACTGGGATGTGAAGCAGGCGNGAGGGGTGGGAACAGGCCATGAGGGAAGAGTTTGAAGGGCACTTGGGCACGGGGACGTTTTCATTCGTAGACGGTGCGCCAGAGGGGCGCAGGCCTGTGAGCTCAAAGTGGTGTTTTAGTTGGAAGACCAACAAGGAAGGGAAGATAGACACGTTCAAAGCGCGTCTGGTTGCTAGGGGGTTTTCGCAGATCCCGAACGTCGATTATTTCCATTCGTCTTCCCCTTGCTANCACTGGGATGTGAAGCAGGCGTACACACACGCCACGCTAGACGAGGAGGCACGCTAGACGAGGAGGCACGCTAGACGAGGAGGTTTCTCTGAGGCTCCCCGCTGGGTGCGGGGACAAATCGCATAAGATCGTTAAGGCTGAGCGTGCGATTTACGGTCTACAGCAGAGCGGTAGGCAGTGGGGGTACCACGCTGCTGATACGCTAGTCGAGAACGGGTTCGAGCAGTGCAAGGCGGATCCGTGTGTTTTCCGGAAGATGGTAGACGAAGTCGTGGTGATGATATCGTGATCTACGTGGATGCCATGTTGGTGGCTGGGTCTGACGAGGATTGCGAGGAGTTGCTTGCTTCTCAACAAGAAATTTCCCACCAAAAACCTTGGAGAGTGTCAATGGTTTGACGGGTGCGCCGTTGAGAGAGTTGTAGAGGCTGGGACGCTTAGAATTTCTAAAACCGCGTCGACATTGATAGCATGGTGAAACGCTTTGATGTACAATCGACCTCCCGCATCCCTACGTCCCCTGGTGTCGACCTAGGACCGAAGCGAAATGGNCCCCGGCGAAGCGGCACTGGGATGCCATACAGAAGATCCTCGGCTACCTGAAAGGGACGAGGGACCTCGGCATCACCTACCAACGGGGATCGGGGTTAGGGCTGGCCGTGTACGTAGACGCTAGCTACGCCGACACGGAGGATAGGCGTTCGGTGTCAGGGTTGGCGACGACGGTTGGAGGTACCGTAGTCAGCCATGGTAGCAAGACACAGAGCATCGTGCCTTTGTCTTGAACGGAAGCCGAGTCCAGTCACGCGTCAAACAGGTGCAAGACTTCAGTGCACTGGAAGGAGGCATTGGTGCCAGAGCCTACCACTGCAGTTATTGGAGGTGTTGTCTTCTCCCTTGAGTGTTTTGTGACGCGCCGTCCCTCTGGTAGCGATGTTAACACATTCGTGTACGTCGGCTGTACTCTATTTCTGTCCATCATGTTCCACAGCTCGACGTGACCCATCACATTCGGGAGATGCCGCTAAGTATAAGATGCCGCACGCTTGTCACAACAACCGAAGCCCTGGTGCGGAGAGGGTACTGAGACGTACATAGAGTGTAGCCCCAAACAGTATACAGGGGCCTGATTGGCGTGTGTTCTTCTTCGGCGTCCGACAATCGTTTCCCACGTGAATTATCGTTCGTTCATCAACTCGCACAAAGTGCTGTGTTGTATTCAACCGAGGCACTACCACAGCAGCGGAGCGACATATTCTACACATCGTGGGGTCGGGCTGGGGGGGGATTGTGTTTGTCGCAACTACATCCACAGGCTGATTCCGTTGTGTTGGATGATTTGGTGCTGCTTTAGGAAGTGTTGCATACATACAACACAATCATGTAGCGTAGATTGTCTGGGCCATACAAAACTCGGAAGGCTCTCTCCTTTCAGGTGCTATGACAGACGAAGCTGATGCGGCTGGTGTATATCGAATATAGCTGATAGTTGTCAAACCTGCACGACATTACAAGGATTCTGGACCACATGCACACAAACGTTTGGCTGACGTACAAGGGTCAATATTACAGTAGATGCCAACGAGAGCATTGGCACACGAACATCGTGTCCCAGCGTAGGTCCATCACACACAGCGAATGAGCACGACAAGCGCACTCTACCTTTTCCTATGTGGGCAGTAAACCAGCATGCTCGCTTTTGCCCGTACGCCGTGTAGGGAACGCACCAGCGTTTATAGAAAAACAAATGACCAAAAGTGGTCCACAGTAGTCGAAGTCGTGCACCGTGTAGGATACCTTCCGTGTGATTCCTGATTGGAGCTCCACGTTATTGAGGCAACACCTCTAGAAGTAACACAGCGAGGGTGGAAATGCAGATGGGATGAAGACAGCAACAGCAGGGATCAAGCAGGCTGATAATAGATCAGACCATGGCCCACCGCGACAACAACACGTAGTTACGCTCTACCAGTTCATTTTGGTGGATTTCCGCATTATGTACACTGCTGTGCACGGAGGGTTAATATTATTGTCCTTCGCCAACGGAAAGCAAGCACCCAGATACCTCTAGAGTGTGAAAAATAGCACTTCTCTCATTGACTCATTCTACCCTTAAATCACCTTAACCCCTCAAATCCTCTTGTATTCAGTTGTGAGACGTTCTTTATTCGATTGCAAGCAACATGCGGTGGGCGACCAAGGCATGCTTCTTCCTGGCGTGTTTCGCCTCTCCGCGACCATGTCTAGGATTCAACCTGCCCTTTCTGAAAACGGTCGAAGAAATGATGCAGCTAAGGAGCCCCTTCCTGCCCCGCCTGAGGGGATTTACAATGTACTACGCTGTGACTTATTGGGCGAAGGTGTTCGTGAGTCTGCGAACATTGCTGTTGGATACATGTGCTGGATGATTT